CAGAGCTTCAGAGTCTCAATGCGTGGATGAGACAATGGTGTAGGGAAGAGGGGTTTGGATTTATTAGGAACTGGGGACACTTTTGGGAGAGAGGGAGCCTATACAGGAAGGATGGGCTCCACCTAAACCAAGGTGGAACCACACTGCTGGCACTAAACATTAAAAAGGCCGTAGAGCAGTTTTTAAACTAAGAGAAGGGGGAAAGCCGATTGGTGTGGAGATGCACGTAAATCGGAGGGAGACTTCTCTTAGAGTATTGATAGAGATTCTCTCAGCTGTAGTCAGAAAAAGAGGAGGAGAGAGGGCAAACCAGGGGCCAGAGCAGACAAATAAGTAGTGGCAAATTTTTGAAGTGCTTCTACACAAATGCTAGGAGTCGGACTAATAAGATGGGTGAACTAGAGTACCGCGTATTAAATGAGGACATTGACATAATAGGCATCACTGAAACCTGGTGGAATGAGGAAAATCTGTGGGACACAATCATACTGGGATATAAAATATATAGAAAGGATAGAGCAGGCCGGGTGGGTGGCGGAGTGGCACTGTATGTGAAAGATAATGTAGAATCAAATGAAATAAAAATAGTAAGTGAATCAACATGTTCCATAGAATCGCGATGGATAGTAATTCCATGCTCCAATAATAAGAAATTAGCAGTAGGGATATATTACCGACCACCTGACCAGGACAGCGATACTGACATTGAAATGCTGAGGGAGATTAGAGAGGCTACCAAAATAGAGAACTCTATAATAATGGGGGATTTTAATTACCCCCATATTGACTGGATACGTCACCTCAGGAAGAGAAGGGGAGATAAAAATTCTCAATGGTTTAAATGGCTGCTTCTTGGAGCAGCTGGTGCAGGAACCGCCAAGGAGAGAGGCAATTCTTGATTTAGTCTGAGTGGAGCTCAGGATCAGGTCCAGGATATAACCGTTACAGGACCGCTTGGGAATAGTGACCATAATATAATAACATTCAACATTCCTGTGGTGGGAAGAACACCTCAGCAGTCCAGCACCCTGGCATTTAATTTCAAAAAGGGGAATTACGCAAAAATGAGGAGGTTAGTTAAACAGAAATTAAAAGGCACAATGACTAGAGCCAAATCCCTGCAAGCTGCATGGAAACTTTTTAAAGACACCATAATAGAGGCCCAACTTAAATGTATACCTCAAATTAAAAAACATAGCAAGAGACCTTAAAAAAGAGTCACCGTGGCTTAACCATCATGTAAAAGAAGCAGTGAGGGACAAAAAGGTATCTTTTAAGAAGTGGAAGTCCAATCCTAGTGAGCTAAATAGAAAGGAACATAAACACAGTCAAATAAAGTGTAAAAATGTAAAAAGAAAAGCAAAAAAAGATTTTGAGGAACAACTAGCCAAAAACTCAAAAAGAAATAACAAAATGTTTTTTAAGTACATTAGAAGCAGGAATCCTGCTAAAAAACCTGTGGGTCCCCTAGATTAGTGGTCTCCAACCTTTTTACACCCAAGATCACTTTTTAAGTCTCAGAACAGGCGAAGATCTACTGCCCCGCCCCTTCCTTGAAGCCCCGCCTACATTACATGAGGAAATATAATGTAAATGTACTGCGCAGGTGCGCAGTTCAGAGAGGGCTCAAGAGTTACTCTTATAGCCTCTGAGATTTACCGGTAGCTCGCGCTCTACTGG